TTATAAAAAAATAATTTTTGCCCAAAGTATTTGGGCAATTTCGGCTACTAATAGAAGCAGTTTCGACCAGAAACCTTGATCTATTCCATACCCATTCCATACCCATTCCATATTTTATTTTCTATAGGGCTTTATGTTGGTATTGGACATGTGATATATATCCTTAAATTCATCTCTTATGAATGATTGAGTATTGTTATAAAGGTATCCTTGCCTTTTGTAATCCAAAGGAAGTGGTGTTAAGACTAAAATAGATAAAACTTAACTTCTTCAAAAGTATCTGTTTTCTTAATTTTTAATAAATTGAATCTAGTAAAAGGACCATTAGCTACTTCCTGAGTTTTGACCACACCAAGATTAGAAGTTTCAAAAAGAAAATTTTGATATTTCTGTATGCCTAGAAGTTTCTTAAAATGAATTTCTCAAATTGTTTTAATATCCAGGTATTGAAAACCTTTTCCACCTTCATAACATTGAACTTTATTCAATCCTGCTGGACTAGATCTTTTTACCACATCAACCACATGATTTACACAAACTACTCTTGTTTTCCTATAGAGTTTTTTTATTAAATCAAAACTGCCATCACATTTGAATATGGTATGCCCAGGAATCATGAAATTCAATTCAATACTTTCATAATAACCACAAATTACCAAATGTAAATAAAATCAAATAGTGGTATTATTTTTATTTGACCTCAGCATCATCACAACTAATCTTTAAATGCTTTCACCTTTGTTCAATTTCTTAATCCCATTAAAAATCATATTAAGAGTTCCATTAGGACCTTCTCCTATAATTTCATCTTCATCAAGAATATAGTTAATTTGTTCCCTTACTGCTTCACCTTGAATACTGTGAGTATGCAACCCGAGTTACTTACTCACCAGGTAATTCTTATATTTGGCACATGGCTGGTCTTACTTTGCCCCCAAATTACATCCATAATTATATCTATTGACACTAAGCCTAAATATCAACACATAGCTAGGACTTACTTTGCCTACTGACTTACAGTTAATCCCACTATCTTATGACACACAATCTGGATACTCCAAATATTTGACACACAGTTAGGACTTACTTTGCCTACTGACTTATGGTCAATACTTCCTTTATCATATGACACACAGTCTGAATAAAAGATCCTTAGGTTATTTAGCTAGCTATACCCCAAAGGCGTCCCCTTGAGAAGTTTAATAATTAAAGGTTGGCTCAGACCATTAATCATTATAGGGCTTGGAATTAATCACACTAGGTTTAGTAATTAAGTACAGTCAAAGACTATTTTATGTAAAGGTTATATATTTATTTGTGTGTTAGGAGTTATTATTATGTTATTGCTATCAAGATTGTTATCAACAATATTGTTATTAACTTGATCTAAAACCAAGTATATTTATACCTCTTGGGGCAGTACAAATAGCTATTCTACTCTCCAATAATATGCCTATTAACTAATTACTAATTCTAAATAAATATTTATATCAAATGAGTAATACATGTATCCAATCAAAAAATCATTTCTTGGTACTTTTTGAGTAACATGACTTGTGATTTGTTTTGATTTGCAAAACTTTTGCATTTTAATTCTTGAAACACAATGACAAAACCTTCAATTGATCAATGTTGTAAAACTGTAACTACTTTATGGGAAAATGGCACTTGTGATGTCTATGCTTTGCACAAATTAACTTTCATTCCACTTTCTACTATACTAAAAAACTTAGCAGTGGGATTTCTTTAGACCTAGCAGGCCCAGAAAACTTTCTCCTAAACAGGGCTGGCAGTGTAAAGGGGTTAAAAACCTAATTTAGTAACAATCATCTTGGCTAAACTTGACTAAACTTGACTTAACATATGACTAAATAGTTTAGCCAGTTTAGCCAAGTGCTCATTTGAGTTATGCAGCCAGCCCTGATTTTCATATTAATATATAAAATTCTATAATGATGATTCTTGCCTTTTTTGGATAGCCTAATTTTATAATAATAAGCGTATAATAAATAAGCGTAATGATGTATTATTAATATTAAATATTAACAACATTTTAATCGAACATATTGTTAACTATTTCTTGGCAATGGCACTTGTATATAATGTCATTTTTTTTTATTTCTTTAAATGCTGACGAATTTATTATGAAATGACAGAACAAGAAATTGTAAACATAGTGTTGGGGAAATCTGAAGTTGAAGATAATGAGGGTGTTGATAAGATAAGCAAGCCAATTGTAACAAATACAGAAGCTATAAATGGTTGAAAATGCGCTTAAATATATACAACAAAAATATTTAGAAGTTGATCCTCAAATAATTAAAAATATATAAATATATTGAAGTTAAAAAGAGAAAATTTCTTATAGAAGCACCCAAGAAGCAAAACAATGTTGCATTAAATGAATTTATGAGTTGACAATGATATTATTATTATTATTATGTTATATTCTGTTTTTTATGTACAAAATAAAAAAAATTTTTTTGTATATACACATTTAATTTGTATCACATGATTTGATCATAAGTTTCGATTTAGCAGATCTCTCAATTTAATGGATAAATTTTCTGGAAAAAAATATTCGTTAAATCGAGACTCACTGTGTAATTCTATTTGGTCAATGCTTGCTGATATTTAGCATTGACAGATTCAACGCATTAAATAAACCATATTATTGTTATAAATTAGATAAGAAGAAATGAATCAGGACAATTAGATTTATCGTGAATTGCATGGTGGTAATGCAATTAAGTTTAATAAGTGATGCCAACATATTTGATAAAAAAGGCAATCCAGGTCAGTTTATTGATACTAATATGGCAAAAAATAACCTATAATTCGAAGTTTTCTAACTTTTCAAATATATGTTAATATGAAGATCATTTAATTAAGCAATTTTTGTTGTAATAGATTTTTTTAACATATATTTTACTCTTCATTGAGGAAAAAAAATTATATTGAACCCTATTATTATTAGATAATCATTTAATTATTACTTTTGAAGCCCCATAATTTCACAAGTCAGACTCATTTTCACGTATTTCTATTGATTCCCATTCCGCAATCGATTTTGGGACCCAGATCCAGTCTTGAACTGTTGGTACACCATCAGTGGAATTGGTGAACGCAAGCTTCTTTAACTCATTTATTTGGCCTTCGAACCCACTCTAAGAATCAAATATAAGTGTTATATTAAAGCTTTCATTAAATTTAATGATATATGTAATGTTATACTTACAATCAAAGCATAAAGTAATTTGAATATTTCAAAGAATTTTTCAATTTCGTTGAATGAAAATGGTAGTACCGCTGATTTAATCTGCGAAATTGTATAGAAGTGCTTTTTAACAAGACGAATCTCACTTAGCGTCATTCTATCACCTAATATAAATTACCACTGTAAGATTCGTGTTGTTCAAATGAACTAATACAGCAGTGAATACATTACCAATAACTTGTACCATGTATGTGCATATGTTCTCCACATTCTCTGCGTTCTTATCTAAATAGTCTCTCAGAAGGGATACCAGTCCAAACATTGCCTCCTTAATAAGTTTCTCAGAATCTTCTTTTACATGTTTTGGCACAGTGTTCTCAGGACCTCCTGATACTTCAATGAATATGATCTCCTTGTTATTAGAAACTTTCATACCAACACTATCTGCTTTATTGAGTGTTAAATTGAATCCCGGGAATAACACCTTCATTTCTTTGATACAGTCAAGTTGTACCTCAATCCAGTTGAATATATATTCTTTATAAACAGACTGTATCACCTTGAATAAAGGCACGATTCTTTCCACTGTGTACTTTCATTCCCCAATATAACGGTTTAACGGACCATCGCTGGTCATTGAAAAACTGAATTAAACAATGTAAGTTAATATATCTTGCCGAGAAAGTAGACATGTAAAAATCCACCCACAAGTCATAAAGAATGATCTCACAGATCTTCTGAAATTGATGGTCAGGGGTCAGTGGAGTCATGACAGTATTTTTGAATACATCCTTTCCGGACTAAGTGGGAGAATTTTTTTAATGTATATTCAGATATAATGTGTAAAAACTTCATGTTAACTTACTGATAATACATTAAGAAGCCAATCATGAACAGATCCTGGAATTATATCAACTTTAATTTCTTTCATTATAACACACTGCTGATTAATGACTACTGAAAAATGGTTATCCAGATATTTTACAGAATCTGCGAAAAGGGTAGGTTTTTGAGGAGTGGTCATCACAGTTTTGCTTTGCGATCTGGGAGGAGGTGTTTCAAACTGATGGAAACAATATTACTCAGGTATAATTCTTAGAAAAAATTAAGTTACATGAAAATTAATCTGACATCAACTTACACTATCATCATTTGTAGATCCTTTTTTACCTGAATTAAATATTGTAAAAAAAAGAAATGATAATCATTAACTTTTTAAAGTAATTAAAATATATTTTTATCACATACTTTGTTTGGTTTTTCTACGTAATCAAAATCCGTTTCCTCTTCTGATGAGCTTTTAGTATCTACTTTGTTTTTCCATTTCCTTGATTCCACTTTAGAATAAGATGGTCCTCCTTCCTCCTGATGGATGGCATAAAAAATAACATTTTTTAGTAATAAATCCTTTCCATAGAATAGCTGTAAACAAATTATGTTCATAATTGCAAATTTAGCAACCTCGTATTCATCATCTTTTAATTCATTGATAAGCATTTGATTTGTACGGTATCCCTAATAGAAATATTAGTTAGACCATTGTGGAATTTTTCCCAAGACTATTTCAAAGCCTACCTTCAAAGCTTTAACTGTGGAGGCAGATGTTACATTAAACTGTAAGGCCATATCAAAGTCATGTTCTCCTTGTTCCTTTTGCAGTTTAACAATAAATTCTTTTACTTCAGCTGTAGAGAATGATTTCTCGAAATCAGATAGAATCTTGCTCAATTTGTTGGTTACGTTTATATGATTGTCACGACTTTCTTTGTATCTCTGTAGTGACACATATATATTATCCCTAAGAACATTGATGGAATCTACATATAACTGACATTTTGATTTTGTATACTCCAAAATAGAAATAATTGACCAATGCCTGTATTTTGTATTATTAAGATATTCTAAAATAATAGACTCAAACATCTTGAAAAAAGGAAGAGATGATAAGTTGTTAATTCATGTAAATAACTCTACATATGAAAAACTAACAGGAAACACAGTCAGCAGTATACTGGTACACAGCATACAGAGATCAGGCCTTAAGCACTTGCACTCAAGTACTTCCCTGTAGACTGCCTCCAAGCATCTGACACAGGACATATTGGCCACATGCCAGTAGGTATACATAATGCATTCTAACAACTAGCATGCAGGAATCAGTCCTTGAACACGTTCTCAAGTACCATCTTGCAGACTAGCATCAAACATCTAATGCAGGACGTATTGGCCATACGCTAGTAGGAATGCACGCAACTGATAGCATATGGTGCCAATCATCTATAGACATCAAATGCTGCGCCATTTGGTGAAATTTTTTCATGAGAATCATTCCTTTTAT